TTGTCAGGACTAACCACTTAGCTCTAAGGATTGCGGTCACTGCCATGCCTACACCTTGAAACAAACTCAAACAACTGCCATGGAATTCAGCTCTGACTCACTAATCCCAAAGATATTTTGTAGCAGAGATTCTTGAGTGGTCTTTAGAGACCTAGGGTTTCCCTGAAATTGAATGAAGAGCTTTGCATGTGCATATGCACACTTTTCTGGGGAAAATGAAATAAAACAGCTTTATTTTATTTGTCAAAGTATCTATGAACTTCTTCAGTAAATAAGTTAAAATCTCTCTTCTGGTAGTTTCCAACCGAGCCCTGCGGGACATCGGGGAAGAACATACATTCATTTTGTCAAACATTTGGGAAAAATCTGTTATGTGCCAATTGCTGTACAGGTCCCTGGGAATTCAAAGATAAATGAAATAATCCCTGCCCTCCAGTGTCTGAAACTGTCATGTAATTGTGATTTAAATTACTTAATCTCTCTAAACATCAGCTTCCCCATATGTAAAATACCAAACCAAACTCATTGCTATGGAGTCCATTCTAACTCTTGGTGACCCCCATTGGGTTTTCAAAGCTATAAATCTTTAGGGAAGCAGACTGTCTCACCTTTCTTTGGCAGAGTGGCTGGTGAGTTTGAACCCCTGACCTTTTGGTTAGCAGCCAAATCACTTAATTACTGCACTGCCTATGTGAAATAGGAGTAACAGTTCTAATTTCATAGCGTGGCTTTGAGAATCACATGAATAAGTACAGAATATAATTTTTTTTTTTTTTTTTTTTAAAAAAAAAAAAAAAAGCACAATTGTTTGCAGAAGGAGCAGAGAAAAGAGGTCTCCAACCCAGACCTGAGGAGGTTAGGAAAAAGCTTATGGACAAGGTGGTAACAGACTTGTGTTTTTAAAACTTTAAGAGAATATCATCTGGAGTCTGGGACCACTCAGCTCCTTTGTGTTGTAGAAATTGTATTTCTTTCTTCCTATGCAGGGCAATACAGGGGGGAAAAATAATTTAAAAGATCAAGGTTACTTTCATGCTCTCTCCCCTTTCTTGTGGGCTCCATTTTCCCTTTGTTGCAGTCAGTTGCCATTGAGTCAGCGACTCCATGTTTGTCAGAGTAGAACTGCGCTCTATAGGGTTTGCAAGGCCGTGACCTTTGAAAGCAGAGCCAAAAGGCCTATCTTCTGAAGTGTCTCTACGTGGGTATGAACCACCAACCTTTCGGCTAGTAGTCGAGCACTTAACTGTTTGTGCTGCTACCCAGACCTGTACCATCTTCGTGATAGTTGGTATGTTTGAGTGCATTACTGTGGCTAGTGTGTCAATCCATGTCTTGGAGGGTTTTCCTCATTTTAGCTGACCCTCTCTTATCAAACATGATGCATAATGCCTGTTTTGGTTACCTAGTGCCGCTCTGACAGGATTATACCATAAAAAAATGGGATGCCTTTAACAAACAGGAGTTTATTCTCTTACAGTTTTGGAGGTTAGAAGTCTGAGTTCCAGGTATCAGGCTCTATGGGCTGGGTGAAAGCCCCTCAACCTTGGGCTTCAGCTCTGCCTCCTGCTCCCGGCCCACTGAAGCTGGAGGTTTTCTTCACTCAGGCAGCTGCTGGCTGCGGAGGCTGACAAACCCAAGCTCCACAAGTGAAAAAGCATAGTCCCAACGTTACCAAACAACATGGCAGGCCAGTAATTCAAGTCCAGAAGAAGTCCCAAGGTTGGCAGAGCACAGCACGCTACTGAATGAAATCTCAGCTACGTGCAGCATTCAAGTAGCCCAAAAGCTGGAGACCTTTCCCAAAGCTGCTTCTTACATAAGGAAGCAGACCACATCCCTGAAGCAGCTACTACTCAGTTGCTTGTGGTACATCCTGCCATGGACTTAATTGTCAGTCTCATCATGAGGAATAACTACCACCAGCTGCCCAGCCACTCAACCAGCCCCAGCCAAGCTGACACACAAACTTAAATACCACAGGTCCTTTTTTAGGGACTGGTCTTTTCCAGATGACATGTCTAAAGTAAGGGAACTGAAATCTCATCATCCTTGCTTCTAAGGAACATTCTGGTTCTTTTGCTTCCAAGACTGGTTTGTTCTTTCTTCTGGCAGCCACAATATATTCAATATTTTTTCATCAGCAGCACAATTGAAATGTATCAATTCTTCTTTAGCCTTTACAATCCACTAGGCTTTGTGTGGAGGGGAGATCCTAGAGTTCTTTGAGTAATAGAATTTAAAACATCTGATTAAGGAAACTATATTATCTTAGTTACATCCATTCTCAATGAAGGAAAGGTTGGGTAGGCATATTTTGTGGGAGAAAGAACTGTAAGTTTATTTCTGTCCCTTTCCCAGTGGAGACATCAGAAACACCTTTTTTTCGCAGGAGGAAAGGAAAGATAGACATGAAAAACAAGGTGGATAGTCTCCTAGGACTGCTGCAAGAAAGCACAGGCATCCTTCTCATTTTATTGCACTTTGTTTTATTGTGCTTCACAAATATTGTGTATTTTACACATTGAAGGTTTGTGGCAACCTTGTGTCAAGCAAGTCCATCAACACCATTTTTCCAACAGCATGTGCTCATTTTTTTCTCTGTGTCACATTTTGGCAATTTTCGCAGTGTTTCAAACTTTTTCATAAAGCTGTTGCACACTTAATGAACTACTCAAAAAGTCAAAATCTCTGCCACTGAGTCAATTCCAACTCATAGCAACCCCCACTGGCTTTCCTAGGCTATAACTCTTTACGAAAGCAGACTGCCCCATCTTTTTACTGTGGAGCAGCTAGTGGGCTCAAACCACCAACCTTTTGGTTAGCAGCCAAACTCCCTAACCACTACACCACCAGTATAGTGTAAACATAACTTTTATATGCACAGATTCTTGTGACTCACATTAGTGCAATATTCCCTTTATTGTGGTGGTTTGGAACCAAATGCTCAATACCTCCAAGGTATGCCTATACCACAAACTGGGTGCCTTAAAACAGCAGGTATTTATTTTCTCACAGTTCTGGAAACTAGAAGTCCTAAATCATGGTTTTAGCAGGGCTGTGCTCTGAAAGTTCTAGAGGAGGGTCTTCATTGCCTCTTCCTAGCAACGAGGATTGGTGGCCGGCAATCCTGGGCTTGCAGATGCATCACTCCAATCTCAGCTTCCATCATCACGAGATTCTTCTCTGTTGTCTGTTTGTTTCTGTATCTCTTCTCCTCGTCTTATAAAGACCAGTCACATTGGATGTGCTACCCAACTCTAGTATGACCTCATGTTAACTAATAACATCTCCAAAGACCCTATTTCCAAGCTAGACCCTATTTCCAAGGACATTCACATATACTGAGGGCTAAGATTTCAACATATCTTTTTCAGGGACAAAATTAATCCTTCTGTTAAGAAGAGGGCATTGCATTCAGAGTGGCTTTAGCAAACCCACTGTTTGGTCATTGATCTTTTTTTGACTGAGATGACCTCCAGGTTGCGGCTAATCATAAATTTACTCACTGGCTATATTCCTTCCACTTTTGTTTACACTTAACATGCCACATCTGTGAACCATGCTGAGCTCAATTCTCTGTGCCCCCTCATCACCTTGTTTACACATGTTATAACTCTGTTATTTATCTGCTTCTTTCCCACTAAACTGAGATTCTCACAGATGGACATTCCAAGGTGTATTCATCATCTCTGCATCTCCAGTGCCTGGCACATTAAATTAATCCACCAAACATTGAGTGCCAGTGTCAGACATTAACTATAGGAGGTAGATAAAGCTGAGATGAGTCCTACCCTCAAAGAGATTACAGTCTAGTGGGAAAGATGAGACCACACACACACACACACACACATACTTACATAAAGGGCCCTGGGTGGCACAAATAGTTTGTACTCAGCTTCTTACTGAAAGGTTGGTGCTTTGAACTCACTCAGTGGCACCATGGAGAAAGGTCTGATGATCTTTTTCCATAAAGATTGCTGCCAAGAAAACCCTATAGAAAAGTTCTACTCTGTGATACATAGGGGTGCCATTAGTCAGAATCAAATTGACAACTGAGTTATATATATATAAGTAGTCCCTGACTTATAACATATTCAAGGTATGACAAACCACACTTACGACCATATGTTCTTTTTTATTGCCTGAGGCATTTGACTGCTAACCAGAAGGTTGGAGGTTCAAACCCACCAGCCACTCCTCAGAAGGAAGGTTGGGCAATCTATTTCCGTAAAGATACCACTTTGGAAACCCAAGGAAGGGTCACTATGAGTTGGGTCCGACTTGACGGCAGTGAGTTCGGTTTTGGTATCATTAGTGATATGTACTATATACAGCGTTGTAACACATAATATTCAGATTTGATCATTAGAAATGTAATATTACCAATCCCCCAAAACAAATATCTTTATATTATCAGTATAAAGATACTGATAATAAAAGGCAGTAATAATAAAAACTAAAAAAAAAAAAAAAAAAAATGAGTCATTCGACTTACATCAGAATCAACTTATGATGGAGTAATCATCAGAATGGAACTCTGTTGTAAGATGGGGACTACGTGTATATAAAAACAAAATTGGTAGCATATTACATATAGTGTTATGCCATCTATTAAAATTTTAAGGAGCTCTGGTGGTGTAGTGGTTAAGGCATTTGGCTGGTAACCAAAAGATCAGTGGTTCAAACTCACCAGCCACTCCATGGAAAAAGATGAGGCAATCTGTTTCCTTAAAGATTTACACCCTTGAAAACTCAAGGACCATGAGTGAGTGATTAAAATTTTATTGTAAAATATAACATGTATGTCAAAAAGGAATAAAATATGTATTTCAGTTCAAAGAATAGCAAAGTATGTATTCAGTCAATCACCAGCCAGATTAGGAAGAAATAATATTACTTCTCTCCTTGAGTCCTTCTCCTTCACCCCCTTAAGGTAGCTAAATGAGGAAAGTATCTGTATTGTTAACCTTGTTCATCTATTTTAACATTTAAATTGCAGCAGGAGGGAAACATGCCTTCCTTTTCCAATCTGACGCAGACCCTGGAAGATGTCTTCAAGAGGATTTTTATTACTTATATGGACAACTGGCGCAGGAACACCACAGCCGAGCAAGAGGTCCTGCAAGCCAAGGTTGATGCGGAGAACTTCTACTATGTCATCTTGTACCTCATGGTGATGATTGGGATGTTCTCTTTCATCATTGTAGCCATTCTGGTAAGCACGGTGAAATCCAAGAGACAAGAGCACTCCAACGACCCCTACCACCAGTACATTGTGGATGACTGGCGTGAAAAGTACAAAAGCCAGATTCTGAATCTAGAAGATTCACGGACCACCATCCATGAGAACATTGGTGCAACAGGGTTCAAAACATCTCCTTGATAAAAGACCCAAAGCCAACATCTAGCATCCGGATATGAAGAGATGCTGATGTAACGAAGTGAATCGAAATTGTTATTGCTTACAAGAAAGTAAGCTCCTTACTATCTGTTGAGAATTTTCATAGCGACTATGTGGTAGATCAACTAAAACAGATGACACTCAATCGCAGTGATTTATACTTGCTCCTGGGGGCAATATTTCATGCTGAAGACCTCTGTATCTTTCTGTGAATGTACATGTCATTTTAATCAATGTCAGTAATGAAAATAAAGCCAAATGTGAAATACAGTGCCTGAGATAGAGATTTACAAATCATTAAATCTTGTTCCCATTAAGCATTATTGTTTCTGTGACTAAGTCAGTTTATTAAAATAAATTTAAAAAAAAATTATCCAGAACCAATCTAGCACTTGATCGCTATATTGAGAGAAGAATATTTATTTAATTAATGCATTAATTCAGACTCTGAAGTGATGACTGAACAAAACCATGGGGTTACTTTGGATTGCATTGTTTTCCTAGAATTTCACTTATTTGGAAGCTTTGCCTTAAGATAGAATAAAGATTTCACAAGGGCAAATAGTCCCCAGGAAAGAAATGGAACATTAGGAGCTACCTAGCACAAGTACAGCAGGGATTGTGAGGATGGTGCATGGCCGGGTAGTGTTTCATTCTGTTGTACATAGGGTTGCTAGGAGTCAGAGCTGACTCATCAGCACCTAACAACAACAGCAACACAGCACAATGGAGTCCCTGGGTGGTGCAAATGGTTAGCCTAAAGTTTGGACGGGAGCTCTGGTAGTATAGTGGCTAAGGCACTTGACTGCTAACCAGAAGGCTGGCAGTTCAAACCCACCAGCCACTCCTCGGAAGGAAGATGGGGCAATCTACTTCTGTAGTGATACTGCCTTGGAAACCCAAGGAGGGGTCGCTATGAGTCGGGGCTGAGTCCATGGCACATAACAACAACAACAACAAAGTTTGGACATTCTGAGGAGGCTCACAAGAAAGGCCTGGTTATCTCCTTCTGAAAAACAGCCACTGACAACTCTATAGAGCACAGTTCTACTCTGATACCTGTTGTTGTTGTTGTTGTTATATGCCATTGAGTTGGCCCCGACTCATAGCGGCCCCTCCTTGGCTTTTCGAGGTGGTATCACTATGAAAGTAGATTTCCCAACCTTCCGAGGAGTGGCTGGCGGGTTTGAACCGCCAGCCTTCTGGTTAGTAGTCAAGTGCCTTACACATTACGCTACCAGAGCTCCTCTGATACATGTTAGGTCACCACAAACCAGAATAGACTCTATAGCAACTGGTTACTGGTAACCCAGCACAACAGAAATCTATCTTCCAAATAACTTTTAAACTTTTGCAGAAAACTAATCTTTTAAAGTCCTTGCTATTATAGGAAAAAAAATCAGCTATAACATAGCTTTATAATAACTTGTTTTTTCACTCAATTTTATTTTCTTCTATTTATAATTACTCATTTTAATTTATGTTCAAAATGACTGATGATCTAGAAGGTGTCTGAGTTGCTGATGCCTATTGAAAAGCTAGAGAATGAGTAATTGCTAACTCTTTGCACATTGGGATTTCAGGGCTGAAAGGTACCTCAGAGATCATCCTATTCTTGTCACACCACTTCATTTGCAGACAAGGAAAATGAAGTCCACTAAGGTTAGATGATTCACTCACTAATCCAAGTAAGCAACATTTATCTACTTGGGTCACTGGCCTAAACCGAGGAATAGAGAAAGGAAGGAGACTTCATGCGCTGGAGAATCCATCCTACAGAGAGGGAGTCATACATGCAAAAACATGATGATAACGTGTGACAAGGTTATATCAGAGATCTACATGAAGTGGGCAGAGCCAGAGCAGACAGGAGGGCAGAACTCAGACCAAAGTCTCCTCGGCTAGAGCAGCTGAGAGTAGGAAATGAATGGTGAAAGACAGATGGGTGGGACTGCAGCATCAAGTAGTATTCATACTTCCTTGTTTACCCTATCTCTCATCCCCAACCCCCATCCGGAGGTAGAGCAATTATGAGCAAGACCTCAAGCTCCAGGATACTAAGAAAAAACAAGGAGGAGCACTTCTTCAAAGCTTGCTTGTTGGACTTCTTATACCAACTACAAAGCTTGGCTGTTTAGAATTACAGAGTGAGAGATATACAAGGTATCTGTTTCCTAGTAACAGACTTATAATCATGCTAATGGATGCATTAAATAAACACTTGGGAAAAGTCATTCATATTCCAAGAGCAGAAGTGGCAAAGATGACCTTCTTTCTCAGATCATTGTAGTTTTTTAATGCCGTCAAGTGGGCCCACAACTCATAGGGACCCCATGCACAATGGTGAAAAAAAACCCTGCCCAGTCTTGCACTATCCCCCATGGTTGGTTGGGGATTGAACCATTGTGATCCATATGTATTCACTGGCTGATATGAATATCATATGATATGAATATTATCAGGTCTTTCTAGTCCATCTTAGTTTAGTGTCACAGCAGCACACAAGCCCCTACTTACAGGTAGGTAGGTGGTGGCTGCACAGGAGGTACATTGACTAGGAATTGGACCATACCCTCCCAAATGGAAGGCAAGGATTCTATCACTAAACACCAACGTTCCCAAGTACCACTTACTTCTCATTAAAGCACAGCTCAGAAGGATTTGAAAACAAAATCTACTATAGAGGATGCCCTAGCAGACTCTAGATCCAGACTACCTGGGTTCAAGTCCTAGCCGTGGTGCTTGCAGACTTCAAAACCCTGGTCAAATTACTTTAATCTGTTTGCTCATTTGTGAAATGGTGTAATTATCTTAAGTCCTTTATAGTCAAACTCACTGCCATGGAGTCCTTTCTACTGGTAACAGCCACTCCTTGGGCTTCAGAGGTAGATTCTCTAAGGAAGTAGATTACCCAACCTTCCTTCGGAGGAGTAGCTGATGGGTTTGAACTGCCAGCCTTCTGGTTAGCAGTCAAATGCCTTAGGCCCTATGCCAGCAGGGCTCCTAAAGTGCATAGAACAAAGCTGTTTTTGTTAACTTTCTCCAGGAAAACTTACTGTATAACAGTACCCTGCACCCAGTTTGGTCTTTTCTCTGTTTTCCCCTAACATTTTGTACTATCACCACAAAAAAGATACATTGGGCTTGGAATCAGCCTCTTGGGTTCAAATTACAAGTCTGCCACTGTCCCTTGTTCCTTGCGTTTTCTTAGGTGAGCCACTTAGCTTCTCTGTGCTGTTTCCTCATGTATGGAAGAGTGAGCCGGCTGGTAGTTAAGAGCTCAGTGAACATTCTTTCTCGTTATCCTTGCAAGTGTGTATCCAGTTTGTGCCCTCATGTGGTGCAGGAAGCTAGTGTGCTCAAAGTCTGCACTTGTTTACTGTTTGTTGAAAGAATCATCTGAAACTCTAGTACTGAGGCAAGCTACTATTATCACATAGGAAACTGCATGCATTTTAAGAGAAAATGAATGCTAAAATTTGAAACGTCTCGTGGGGAGCCTTGGGTCCTCAGCCGCAGACAACAGCTAGGTGGCATTTTGGGACGGCCAGACAGCTGAGGGCACAAGAACCCCGCAACGCCCCGCCCACCATTCTCCTCCAGCTTGTAACTTCAGCAACTCGAACGAGCAGACGAGCTCAACCAAAGACCGGCGGGTCCCGCCCCCTGCCGCAGCCTTACGCAACTGCACATTTCTGGAGCGGTGCATTTCGGGAGGTGTAGTTTGCTTGCCCAGTGATGGTGTTTCGGCTCCCGGGAACTGTAAGTGCACAATGTCCACATCGGCAAAAATTTCTTCCATAACCCGAAAGCTCTTTGGGGCGTTGGGGAGTCCAGCAGTGGGCCCTGGGTTCGCGTTTTCTCTCTGGGACGCCCGTCAGCCGGCCTTCGGCTCCGCGGCGCTGGCGCCACGGATGGGGCCCGGGAAGGTGACGGCTGCCAGGGCCCATCCGCGGAGCCAGACTCACCAGGCCGTCCAAACCAAACCCAAAGCCCCTGCCATCGGTTCGATTCCAACTCATAGCCAACTTCTAGGACAAAATAGAACTGCCCCATAGGGTTTACAAGGCTGTAAATTTTTAATGAAGCAGAGTGCCTCATTGCTCTTCCCGGGAACAGCTGGTGGGTTCGAACTGACGATCTTTTTTGCTTAGCAGCCGAATGCTTTAATCACTATGCCACCAGAGCTCCCCGGCTCCGGGAGCCGGTCACATGGGGGACGGCAGTGCCCAGGGTTGGTTCTGGCCAGAGCGTGTTGGTTCCAAAAGGATTTAGGAGGATGGTGAATATTTTGGGCTAGTGCCAAGGCATTTGAGGGCTAACCAGAAGGCTGGCGGTTCAAATCCACCAGCCACACCTGGAAAGGAAGGTTGGGCAATCTACCTCCGTAGTGATACCGCCTCGGAAAGCCAAGGAGGGGTCGCTGTGAGTCGGATCCTACTCGACTGCAGTGCGTTTGGTTTTTTGGTTTTTGTTCTGTGGAAGGGTGAAGAGAGCGACGAGCGCCCTTGGCCGTCATCCTGGCGGGCTTCCCGATTGTAGGAGCAGGAGAGGACCCTTGCTTCTGCTCAGAGTATAACTAGCAGGAGCAGAGCCGCAGCGACTTGCCCAGGGTTACACAGTGAACTTGGGCACTCATGTGGCCCTTCCAGCACGTGAGGTTTCAGCAAATGGAGGCGAGGACACCCCATATTGTCTACAATCCGCTCCTCAGCGGATCCCTGAACTTTGAGTTGTGGAGTCAGAGCAGCGGAGTGGGCTTGGTTTCCTGAATGTCAAGTCCCCAAGTGGAGCAGAGAGAGAACTTCATTTGCCCATAGGTTAGTCATAGCCCTCTGGCCCTAGTAACCCCAGTGGACCGGGGTTACCCAGAGGTTGGCCAAGTGATGCCCAAGGTTAGCCTGGAACCTCCCTCCGCAGACCCACCCCTACTCAGATGATTGGGTGAAGTGTTGGAGTGAAATATTAGAGACTTAGAATGAGAATAGCATCTGTAAGTTCAGACAAAGGGCAAGCAAGGCCTAGTTAGTCCTGAGATGAGCTTAGAAACCAAGAGACAAACTGACCCTTGGGTTTGTTAGTTTTATCAGGAGGAAAACTTAGATTGTGGACAATACATTGCCCATATTGCTTTAATTGGCTTAACCAAGATAGTGAGTAACCTTTTTGTTCCTAAGAGAAACCTGGCAAAGGAAAAATCAGGATATTTTTGCAGTAACAACAACAACAACTCACTGCTGTTGAGTTGATTCCAACTCATAGCAACCTCTTCTTGGGTTTCTGAGGTGGTATCTCTACAGAAGTAGATTACCCAGTCTTCCTTCCAAGGAGTGGCTGGTGGGTTTGAACCGCCAGCCTTCTGGTTAGCAGTCAAATGCCTTAGGCACTACACCACCAGAGCTCCCTTTTGCAGTAAACTGAATATGAATATTTGAAGTATGATCTAAGCCATTTGTTATTTTTGAGCTTTGACTTAAGCCTGTGGATATAAAAGGTAAGTTTCAAATAGACTTCATGTCCCGCAGAAATATCTCCATCTTGTTGGGTTTTGTAGTTTCAGCTTTCAGATAGCAGCTGCCTCCTATTCCTAATATTATATACCAAGTGTACTGAGGCAGCAGAGGTAAGAGCTATATTTAGCTTCCTTGGTTGTTCTCATTTGCAGAAGGCCTGCAGGGTGCTAGGATAGTGGCTCACTTGGGGCTTGTAATTTAAGGACAAGTTGTAATTTAAGGAAGTAGGCAGTAGGTGGGAATAAGCCACTGATCAGTGTGGTTTGCGCTCCACCTCTCACTGTCACCCCATCCCCTTCACTGCTATTGCAGGTTGACTTTAAATTTCTAAAGAGTTTGCATCTTAACACTTTAGCTATGAAGTTGAGGCTCCTATTGCTATATCTTTACTCTCAGGTTCTGTGATGTTAGAGAGGATGATGAGTTGTGAATTACAGAGCTGCACAATTATTGTTTGGATTCTGATTTTAAAAATGAGAACACTAGTTCAGAGAGGTTAATTATTTGTCCGAACTCACATGCTTGGTCATTGGTGCCAAGAATAGAGCCCAGATTTCTAGTTCTGGTCCTCAGGAGTTCTTTCCACCATGCTCTGCTGCCTTGAAATGATTCCGTTTTCTCTTGGATGGTTGTTAGCCAAAAAGTTGGCTCCGACTCATAGCAACCCTGTGCACAACAGAATGAAACACTGCCCAGTCCTGGGCCATCCTCACAGTCCTTGCTGTGCTTAAGCCCATCATGGCAGCCACTGTGTCAATCCATCTCATTGAGGGTCTTCCCCTTTATCACTGACCCTCCACTTTACCAAGAATGATATCCTTCTCAGGGAATGGTCTCTTCAGACAACATGCTCAAAGATGAGATGAAGTCTGACCATTCCCACTTCTAAGGAGCATTCCGGCTACACTTATTCCAAGAGAGATTTGTTCATCCGTGGTATTTTCAGTATTCTTTGCCAACACCACAATTCAAAGGCATCATCTCTTCTTCAGGCTTCCTTATTCATTGTCCAGCTTTCACATACATAAGAGGGGATTGAAAATATGCCATGGTTTGGGTCAGGCGGACGTTAGTCCTCAAAGCAACGTCTTTCCTCCTTAACACTTTAAAGAGGTCTTTTGCAGTACATTTGCCCAGTGTAATACATTGATGTCTTGACTGCTGCTTACATGGGTGTTGATTGTGGATCCAAGTGAAATGAAAATTCTGACAACTTCAGTCTTTTCTCTATTTATCATGATGTTGCTTATTTGTCCAGTTGTGAGGATTTTTGTTTTATGTTGAGGTATAATCCATACTACAGAGTGTAGTCTTTGATCTTTATCAGCAAGTGCTTCAAGTCATCTTCACTTACAGCAAGTAACGCTGTGTTGTCTGCGTGTCTAAGGTTGTTAATGAGCCTTCCTCCAGTCCTGATGCTGTGTTCTTCTTCATATAATCCAGTTTCTCAGATTATTTGCTTAGCATACAGATTGAGTAAGTATGGTGGAAGGATACAACCCTGATGCACATTCTTCCTAATTTTAAACCATGCAGTAGCCCCCTTTTCTGTTCGAACAACTGCCTCTAGGTTTATGTACAGGTTCCTCATGAACACAATTAAGTGTTCTGGAATTCCCATTCTTCCCAATGTTATCCATAATTTGTTATGATCTACATAGTCAGTTGTCTTTTCATAGTCAATAAAACACAGGTAAACATCTTTCTGGTATTCTTTGCTTTTAGCCAACATCTATCTTGCATCAGTAATGATGCCCCTCATTACACATGTTCTTCTGAATCCAGCTTGGATTCCTGGAAGTTGCCTGTCAGTATACTGCTGCAACTGCTTTTGAACTATCTTCATCAAAATTTTACTTGCATGTGATATTAATGATATTGTTGGATAATTTCCACATTTTGTTGGATCACCTTTCTTTGGAACGGGCACAAATATTTATCCTTTCTAATCAGTTCACCAGGTAACTGTCTTCCGGATTTCCTGGCATAAATGAGTAAGCATCTCCAACACTGCATCCATTTGTAGAAACATCTCAGTGGGTATTCAGTCAATTCCTGGAATCTTGGATGCAATTTGCTAATGTTCTTCAGCTTGGCATGTCCATAAGTAGGAGGAGAAATATGGATCCTAACAATAATAGTTAACGTTTACTGCTTTCTATGTGTTTAGCATAGTGCTTGGTGTTTAATGTCTACCCAATATCTGAAGGAGAATCTACAGACCAGGGAGCTGAGACTGACAGAATCCAAGTGCCTTGTCCAAGGTCACACTGCTAGTAAATGCAGTACATGTTTGCCAGAGGGCCATACCACTGGGTGTTCTCTTTATTTCCTCTTGTAAGCTTAAGTGCTCAGTTTTGAGTGTCCTTGATCTTGGAAATCAATATTATGCATACATCAATTTGTTAGGTATGTAATTTTGGCCTCAGAAAAAATTGTGAGGATCAGCCAAACTCCCCTGCTGTTATTTGTATTTTGTTGTTGCTGCCTTTGAGTTGATTCTGACTCCTGGCAACTGTTTTGGTTACCTAATGCTGCTCTGACAAGAAATATACCACAAATGGGATGGCCTTAACAAACAGGAGTTTATTCTTACAATTTGGAGGCTTTAAGTCCAAGTTCAAAGTGCCAAGCTCTAGG